TTTGTCAACAAGAAAGAGAAGGAGAATCCTGGGTCCAAGAAAGTCTCTGTGATATCTACTTCCCTCTTTCTCAGCAGCTCTTGGTTAATCCCATTCCCCAGGCCTCTTCTCTTCCCCAAGACTTAGAACTAAGTTAAAATGTCAGAGAATTCTCCAGACCATAGAATTTCTTCTCTTCCCAGATCTGTTTTGTTGTGGTCATGTAGACTGCTCAGCCAAAGATTCAGAAATAGCAACTATTCCAATTATGTAAAATGTGATTAAAGGAAGTGTCATGGCCCTTCACATGTGCCTTTCACTTAATTCTTGCCTTGCAACCCTGGCTTGGGCTGACAAGCATAATAGATCTACTTGATACATCTTGTGCTAAAATAAAATGTCTAGTCAAAAGTGCTTAGAATCCCTCTAGGCTGGAGTTGGCTAATGATGTCATTACTCCACAGGGCCTGGCATTATTTTTAGGATGGCCATTTCCTCCCACATTAAGGCTCATTAAGATTTTTTTTTTTTTCTGTAGTACTCTACCCATACAATAGAGGTCACACACAGAGATGAGGTCTGGTCTGGGCCTGGGGCAGCCCACTTACCCTTTCTGGACAGCTGAGTTCCAAGTAAGGTCACTTGAAGCTGAAGGAAGCTTTTCTTGAATGATGGGAGATCAGACCAAGGTCAAAGTCAGTCTGGGCTGGCCTTATGTCAATACATCTGGCTTGCCAATATTGTAACGACTAGGTTTATGCCATTTGCTGCCCGCTGTCCTCCTCGCCCTTCATTCCTTTCAACCCTTAGCCAGTTTAGAACACTTCTAGCCCAGCTCAAATCACAGGGCTAAAATAGCCTGGCAAATTTGCTCTCACTCACAAGACAAATGGTCAGGACTCCAGGGTGAGGCAACCTCAACTATGTAGGGGAAACAGTAAATCTATTTTTTTAGCAGCACAGATTTTGTAATCAGATGGATACAGGTTCAAATCCTAAGGTTGCCATTGACTGGCTGTGTGACCCGGGGCAAGTTTCTGAATATCTCTGAGCTTTATTTTCCTCATCGCTAAAAGGAAAACAATAATACCAACCTCACCAGACTGTTAATAAAACAAATAAGAAAACATATATCGAGGCACTTAGGGTCCCTGACATAAGGAAAACACTTATTAAATGCACCTGTTACTATTTATCAGCATCTCTATTATAACTATAAATCAAAAAGGTGCAATTGTGAGATCCAAAGGGCTCTGAACATGGACAAAATTTTCCTAACTCATTTGGCAGCAGAACCTGACCTGACCTGAATTTCTCTGTAGACTTCATCTATCCCACTTAATATGAATATTTGCTGCATAACTCTGAATGTTTTTTGCTTACCAATTGCTGTCCCAGACTCTGCCAGGGGTATTACATAATATACAGTAACTACCTCACATTGCTCTTCTATAACCTGAAAAAGTCTGAATTCCGAAACGCATCTGGCCCCAAGGGGGTTTGGTAAGGGATTGTAGTCGGTATTCCCCCTCAAGCCAGATGAATCTTTCTCTGAAGGGCCCAAGCCACCGCCAGTCCTTCCTACCTAGGAGACTACAAAAAGCGTTCCTTTCTTGCTAGCTGGGATGCCGTCACCCATCTCCATGACGAATCATATAGACGCCCCCCACCCCAGGCAGGAAAATTAATCGATGTTGCCATTCAGAGGCCAAATGCCTTGATAAGGCTCGATCATTGATTTCTGGCAAATCTGGACAGAAAGGGCAATAAAAGCAACCCAGAGTCATATTCTCACTGAAGATGAGAATCTGCTCCCAAGTAAGTAACATTTCTCTTTGCCGAGCACCTATGACGTGGCACGTTCTTTACATACCTCCTGGACCTCACGACGACAAGGAAGAGCTATTATTATCCCCACTTTATAGACTTATACACGGGGACACAGAGACGACGGGGACGCAGACAGACTCCAGTCTGATTTTGAAAACCGCTGCTTTTTCCTCTATAGCATGCCTTTCTGATGCTCATAAAACCATAGGAAAGGAAAAGAAAGAGGACGTGTATCTTGAATTTATTTTAGTCCTATGGCCTACCATATATTTTAAGTGTGCGGCTTTATCTAAGACTCAAGCCTTATGTAGGTATCAATTTGCAAGTCTGGGAAATGGTTACTTTACCGGGTACCAAATATTCTCTAAGCACTAGTGTTCTCAGAACTATTGACCTGTACTATCCACCCCACCTTCCTTTAATCCTTCCTCAATCTCTTGCAACTTGACTTGTGGGAGGAGTTTTAGGCCTATGGTGGAGCTGGAGGGAGTTGTGTTTGGGGGAGTATTTTTAGTAGCTGTGTGCCTGGTTGGATCTGGGGAGATGATTTGAGCATGAAGGCCAAGAAAGAAGAGCTGGTAACCTTGGCCTTGGACCCACTGGTGAGCGTTCAGAGTTGTGCTCCTCCAGCACACAGCATGCTAAGCCAGGCACAAGACTCAATCTAGGACAACCCACCTTACCAGGAGCCGAAAGCAAAAATCAAAGGCAACAAAGAAAGATTAAAAAGCAAGAGTCCAAAACCAGAGAGAGCAACTTGCCCTCCCTCATGACACCGATGAGACAAAGACCATGAAGTAACGGTGTCAGGCAGCCCTCGCATTAATCTGCACCATAGAAGTGGTCAGAGTCCTCCTTTCCCCCATGACAGGATGCCCAGGCAGCCTCACAATGAATGCTCCGTCAACAAGATAGCAAGAACTCCACCTGGCAGGCGGCACATCATTTATTGACTACCTAGGGCTTTGGATTATGAAAAGATGCCTGAAAGAGACTTTGTTATCTCCTTGTACTTCTTTAAGTCACCACTCAGTTCCATACGCAGCCCTGCTCCTCTTAGAATTCCTGACTTTTGATTTGAGGTTGCAATTGTTCCTTAGACTGACAGGAGTGGGCTCGAAACCCAAGGGTAGCCTCCAGGCTTATGATCTCCTGCAAAATGGAGGTCCAGCTGGGGCTTCTGACAGGCCCTGGTGAATTCCAGGCAGCCTGCCAGGTGGCATGGCTGTCAGTGATCCATGAGGTCGCCAAGGTATGAATCAACGTTGGCAGCACTGATGGTCGCATCCGTAATATAGATGGTTCATGTAGCATGTCACAGGCCAATGAGAAAGTGACTTGTCTTGGAGGTTTTTTGTTGCTTTTTTTTTTTTTTAATCCCAGTAGCAGAGAAAGCAATCATCCAAGAAATGGAGAGTGTGAAACACAGAACACTGTCCAGGTGGGAGGTGCCTGCAGCTCTGAAATGTGGGCATGGAAGTGGCTTAAATTCCAGACACTGTGCCCTAAATTACAGAGAAACTCTGGACTCGTTCTTCTTGGCTGTAGATATCTAAGGCCCTTCCTCCCCTCTACTTTCTCCATAACTCCTCACAGAGAAACTGAAGCTCAGAGCTCGAAGACAGCTCAGAGATTATCTTGTCTAACAGCCAATTTTCTAGATGGGGAAACTGACGACCAAAGAGAGGATGTGGATTCTCCAAGGTCACAGCTCACACCCTGGAAAACCCAGATGGAGCCCATCCTTCCTGATTCCCAAGCTAGCAGTTTCCTTGCCCTATCTCCCTGAGAAACAGAGGACCCCCGATTTTCTAATCCTGCAAAAGAAACTTGTGTGCAAGAGAATGTTGTAACTTCAAAGGCAACTCCACTAGAGACTGTTGGTGAAAATAGCTGATGACTATGGACTTGGACGTCCAGATAGCCTGACACCAACTCAGTCAAGTGCTACGGGGTGAATGGTATGATCATAACAGACAAGTCTACATAATATATTTTTCATGAGCAAATGAGAGGATATGAAATATATATTATGGATGATGGTGTTAACATCTCATTTATTTACTCTGCAGCCATCTGATTCTCTTAGCATATTATCGTTTCCCTATGACTGAAGCTGTTAGGATTTACTGAACCTTGACATTGGCTCGAAACTTTCACCCACGCAACTCAGGGTCTGCCCCCTTCATGATGTCACAACCACCCCCTCACACAAACACCTATTAAAAGATGACATCAAAGGACAGGTCTCTATTTTTAACAAACTGTTTCCTAGCTGGTTGCCATTTTTTTCCAGACCTTCTCTCCCTCCCTCCTGTAACCATGTTCACACTCTCAAGTCACTCAAAATGTTTAGAGCCCTATGTAGAACCCAGCTCGGTACTGACCACCAGATAATCCTTCGGGGGTCCCAAACACCTCTTACCTTAGGTAGGAGAGGGGCCAGCCCCTATTCTGACGGTGACACCCTGTCTCCCAGAGGTCTGTGGCAGTGGTGGTGGCAGCTGCCTCCTAAGACATCCCTCTGCACGTCTGGCACGGGGAAAGGCAAAGTTAGAATGACAACAACACTAACAAAGATTAATTCCTGTGTCTGATGAGAGTTAATTTCTCTGATTAAAGGACTCTCAGAAATGTGCAGTGACTAAATCTTGACTGGAAATATTCAAATGGCAGAACGGCCGGGCAAAGAGCCCCAGTCACATGCCGGCAGCTTACAGAGGACCTCCATGAGCCCACCAAGCACAGGATGAGTCAGGCAAACTCGTGGGATAAACACACAAAGTCAAGGGCAGGTGGTTGTGGCCAGCGAGGTATTTACATAGTCATCTATTGCATTCTATTTTTGTATTATTTATTTTCCCTTACAGAGCTTCTTGGAAGGTCTTGTCTATAAAAACACACGCAGGGCGGCGCCTGTGGCTCAGTGAGGAGGGCGCCGGCCTCATATACAGAGGGTGGTGGGTTTGAACCCGGCCTAGGCCAAACTGCAACAAAAAAATAGCCAGATGTTGTGGCAGGCACCTGTAGTCTCAGCTACTTGGGAGGCTGAGGCAAGAGAATCACCTAAGCCCAAGAGCTGGAGGTTGCTGTGAGCTGTGACATCACGGCACTCTACCGAGGGCAACAAAGCAAGACTCTATCTCTAATGATAATAAAAACACATGCATGGAGAAAGTGTTTCACCCACTGGAGAAACACTATCTGGTCTGATGGAAACTGATGGTTACCAAGGCTGCTGTGCTGGTCTGTCTGGCCATCCCTCAGAAATCTGCTCTGGATCATGGAAGAGAAAAAAGCCAGTGGAAAATTGGAATGATCTGCCTTTAGATTGCAGCCTGATATGCTGCACGTGATGCTGAAAAGGCAAGTGGGAACAGTGGACAGGCCAGCTGTGGTGGCTTATGGCTGTAATCCCAGCACTCGGGGAGGCCGAAGTGAGTGGATTGCTTCAGCTCATGAGTTCAAGACCAGCCTGAGCAAGAGTGAGACCCCCATCTCTACTAAAAACAGAAAAAAATAGCTGGGTGTTGTGTTGGGCACCTGTGATCCCAGCTGCCCAGAAGGCCGAAACAGGAGGATCGCTTGCAACTAGGAGTTTGAGGTTACTGTGATCAAGGCTGACACCATGCGCTCTACTCAGGAAGACAGAAAGACACTCTGTCTCAAAAAAAAAAAAAAAAAAAAAGGGGAAACAGGGGACATTGACAATGACAGCCTCACTTGGCTCTGTGGTCAGAAAGAGAACAGGAGGTGGTTGCAGTGAAAGCATGTGAGCCCGGAAGGCAGGCTGCCTTGTGTTTGAATTCTAGCTGCACTATTTACATCTTTGTAAATCTGGACAGCGCATATAGTCAGTTAGGTCCCATTATTTCACCCAGAAGGTGATGATTATTCCTGTCCCCGTTTTGGTTTCTCAGCACAAGGAATTTGCAAAAGAGCCCAACAACAAGGGGCTCTCCCTCCCCCAGGCTATTACCCACCTTTGAGATCTAACAAGAGAAAGTTCCTCTGTTTTCTCTCTGGGGAGGCTTGGGAGGCTTGGGAGGCTGTGGAGTTTCCTACCAGTAGCAAATTCAGCAGGTGGGAGGCGGGGCGGGGCGGGGGGGGGGGGGGGGGGGGGGGGGGGGGGGGGGGCGGGGGGCAGAGCGTAGGGGAGGAGCCACTTTTTTTTTTTTTTTAATCTTACACCCTCCCTTCCCACGCCTTCCCTGCCCCGCCCCTCTAGCCATGTCAAAATCGTAGACTAATTGCTCAGGTTCTCGAGCTGTCCATAATGTGGTGGTCTGGCTCCTTTTAGCAGATAACCCTCCCCCCTTCAAACGTGTTTATCAATTCCATAAACATTTATTGGGAGTCTGTTTTGTGCCAGGCACCATACGAGGCCCCAAGGATGGGGAAACAAGTTCTCTCTGCTAAGGTGTTTATGAAAAAAAGGCTGGTGTGGTCAGAGGCAGTTTCTTCCACGGGGTTCGGGATACGAGTGCCCAGTGCTCCCCTCCTGAACTGGGCTAGTCCAGAGGTAAAGCTGCAGTCAGCACACTGCTAATGGGGCTTTGAAAGTCTCTGCTTTATTAGGGCAGCCAGGAAAGCCGATTTCAGCTGCAAATGCCTTCATTGCCTCCCCAGCAGAAATGGCTAATACCTGCTTTCTGGGACGTGCTCATCAAAAGGAGACTCTCAAAGCCCCATTAGCGGTGTGCTGACGCTGGCTGTACATCCTGAAAGGGCAAAGTCCAGCCGAGTTAAAGGAATCCAGCCTATTTGTCAACACCAGAATGAGTCAGAGCTGACCCCCACCTTCCCAGCTCGCCACACCACCCCCTCTCACTTCCTCCCTCTTCCCTGGCGGGAGAGGCAAGGAATTACAATTTCTCAGCAGGGGGCTCTGCAGTCCTACCACCCACACACTGCCCCCTCCTTCCTCTGGCTCACCATCTCTTCTCCCTGCCATTCTCAATTTATCCTACAACCCAGCAGAAGCCTACACCTGCCACAGATAGAGCTGCATGCTCTGGGCATCCCCACGCTCAGCCATCCCTTGGATCCCACCTGGAGAAGCCTGGGCTCTGCAGTCATGATCACCACCGGTGCCTTCCAAGCTCCTAGAATCTTGAAGTTGGAAGGGGTCTAATGGGGGTCAGTCGACTCCATCTGCCACCCAACAGAGAAGCGTTTTTCAACCTTTTTTATCTCACGCACTTGAGCCTAGTTAAACTTCTGTGGTACACTTAAATTATGTTGATTTAAAAAAAAAAGAATATACTTACTGTGCTTTGAACTTTTTTGAAAATATTTTAATTAACGATGTTTTAAGATTGTTCACAGCACACCGGTTGAAAATCACTGCGATAAAGGAATTGGTCTCTCAACACCACCATCCTATGGTCAGTCTGTCTCCTAGGAGGAAAGAGGGCTAACACCAGAGAGCTGTGGGAGGCGGAGCAACTGGGGGTCCCCTGAGTACACAAGCTGTGTGACCCTGGTAGCGCAAGCCAGCATAAAAGAAAGAGCTGCCATCACTGTGTGGTGATGATGCCATCAACACCAAGATTATTTCTCCTGAGAATTTCACCAACCGGCCAGACCAAACGTGACCTCATTTCAACTTCTGCGATGACTCAGTGTCACGTTAAAAAGATGCCTGGTAGCAAAAAATACAAGGCCTCACCCTCTTTTGGGGGATAAGACAGGAACTGAGATTCCCTCAGCTTTGTTTACTGTCTCCTTACTTACTTGACAAGCAGAAGGGTGAAGTGAATCTCCAAAGAACCTCTGAGAGTCCAGCAACAAAAATAATATTTCAAACACACTGAGAAAGTCCGTGCTGCAGGCAGGTGCTAGCCCCTGAGTAACAAGGCTGAATAATGAACTTGGCCCCTTCACCAGGTGTTTTGGCTTACACCCGTCATTCCAGCTACTCCGGAGGCTGAGGCAGGAGGATCACTTACTTGAGTCCAGGAGTTCAAGGCTGCAGTGGGCTAAGATTGTTGCCACTGCCCTCCAGCCTAGGTAACAATATGGTAAAATATTATTATTTCTTCAGAGCCTATCTCTAAAACTAAATAATAGAAAATTTTGAAAAATAAACTTGGCCACTTACATTAAGGACTCGCGGCTTGGTGGGTGGGTGGACTCAGACATATATAGGAATTATATGGAGCCTGAGACATGCTTTCTTAGCCGTCAGAACAAAGGGCTTTGCTTTAATCCTGATTGTATTTGATGCTGCTATAGTGATGGCCATTCCTGGCCACGGCCCCTTTCTTGGACTACTCTACTAATTTGGCTTCTGATTTCACTCTCTCCTGGGCTGTCTTTACTTCTAAGATGACACCTCAGTCTCCTTCATGGCATCCTCTTCCTCTGCCTACCCCCTAAATGTTGGCATGCCCTAAAGAGCCCATCGTTTCCCTCTCTGCCACTCAATCCGACACTTACATTCTCCCTGGAAAATACCTTTTGCTCCTAGGCCCTGATCACACCTAAGTACTGACAGTCCCCAAATCCATTTCTCCAACTCAGACATTTTTTGAGCAGATACTTCCAGAACATGTATTTGTTGAACAAATATCTCTTTGCAAGACCATTACCATTAGTGTTCTAAGTGTTTTGCAAAGATTAACTCATTTAAGCTCCTAACAACATCACAACTCCACAATGTAGATACCCTTATTATCCTCCTCTTAGAAAGGAGGAAACCGAGGCATAGAGAGGTTGAATAACTTCTCCGATGTTCTTCATACAGCTTGTGATCATTGGGGTCAAGTTCTAAATGAATGTGGCCTAGCTGTAGAGAGTGCCATGCCGTGCTATGGAGTACAAGCAGCTGGCAGATTATGACAAATATGAACTCAGTACCCTTCTCCTCCAGTCTACTCTTTATAGTTCAGCCTTCCCCCTTTGTTAATAACATCTTCACCTACTTAGTCGCAAAGAAGGAAGTTTACTACCCGGCACATCAACAATGTTCAGTGAAGGCTTCTGAATTGAATGGAACTGTTCTAAATGGAATTGAATTGACACATGAAGGAAGCTCAGGATGGGGACTTCCATTGGAGGATGGGGGAAGATTTTAGAGAAGAGGTGAGCATTACCTTTGAGCATTACCTTTGAGCATCGTCAAAGGTTTAGAGACCTGACAGTTCCATACTCCCAGGTTATAAATGGTAGGTCTCAGGTTGGAAAGAGGAAACTGGGATGTGAGTAAATCTAGAGCCCAGTGTGGGAGGAACCCTAGCTCCTTACTACTCAAAACGTGGTCTTCAGACTGGTGGGACCAGTGTTGTTGGCAGGTATATGGAGGCTAGCTCTCAGGGCCTTCCACAGCCCTGTAAAATCTGCATGCTAACAAGATCTCCAGATAATTTTTCTTCACGTTCAAATCTGAGAAGTATTGGTCTAGGACCGTTTTTACATGGGCCAAGGGGACTAGAGTATTTAGCCAAACTTCACGAAATCCTAATGATTTTATTTGCATCACCACCACCCTCACGCCCCACACCCCCACCTCTCCCGCCCCCTCTAAGGTTTTGGAAATACCTCTCCCCCCCTGGCCTGCACCCAGCCCTGACAATCCCACGGAGACCAGGAGCAATAAATATGGTGAACACACAAATACCTCTACTGCATGGAGAGGGCTTTTTCCGCGGCGACCTAAAGGAGACACAGCTATAAACAATATTGGTAAATGTGCAGCAGTTGGTTTGGATAAAAAAGGGTGAGAGAAGAAAGCAGGATGGTTTTGTCTGTGGTACTAACCCAGCCCCAAGCGCTTACAATTAATGGAGATACTGGGCCTCTGACAAGTTGGTCATAGGTACTCGGAAGAGAGTGGAAGATATACCGTCGGCCCAAACCTGCTTGATTCGTGTGGTCCAGGTAGATGTTGGTTTAAATCCTGGAAGCTGGAAGTATTGGGATGAGCTAAGCCTCAGAGTATTGATGAGACCTGGATGGAGATTTGAGGCTATAGCAATTTGGCAGGAGCTCTACGTGCAGAGGAAGCCAAGGTCTTCAGGCCTGGGCTGGCGCTGAAGGTGGATGTTACTGGGATGGAAGGCCTGATAACATGGTAGAACCAACAGCGGAGGGTGGCATGCAGGATCAGGAATCAGGGAAGTACAGAGCATAGGCTCTGTAGACATAGGGAGGACATAGAATAGAACAAACTTCAGCCACAGCTGCTGTGACTGAGGGCCATTTGATGGTGGGACACAGGATGCAACCGAAGAGGGAAGGAAGAGCTGCTAACAGAATGGGGACATCTCCCAGGCAGCTCTTCGCCCACAAGTTACTCTTTTCCCGTCGAAACCCACGGAACACAATTAAACTCCTTCTACAACAGCTGGGAAAGACACTCGCAGACACTTTGTAGAGGCATTTTATTACGCGAGGCATTCATAGAGCAGGTTTATATTGGGAGAGAATTGTACCTCCTGAAACTCCTGCATTTGCATGAATGCGCGTGGTAGCAAATAGGAGCAGAAACAGCCAGAGTAGAAACGCGGGGAGACATCTGCACAGTCTAGAGGGAACAGTTGGAGGCAGACTGCAATTCTGCACTCGGTCCATCAGCTCTGCTGCAAGGAAGGGATGGGTCCAAATCACACTGGCAGGAGATGCAGAAGGGGACTGGTGGCCAGTGCTGACCCAGCAGGAGAAGAGAAGAGGGTTCAGGACAAACTGTCCAGGGCATCTCACACAGGACCTAACTAGAGTTCTGCTGATCTATCAGCAGTAGCAGTTAACTGTAGATAGACTATATTGTTCACTCCAGAAAGCCAAGTAGGGCTTTAATTGATCATCCCTGGTGCTGTCCCTACGAAGTGTATAGAGTCAATAACCCCTTCAAGTATTAAAAAGCTGATGGATATGATCTCACAGGAGATCAAGGAGCCAGCACCGGTAGAGATGCTGCCTCTCTGGCCTGTTGTTTTCCTCCTCCTCTCCTGCTCTGATCTCCAGCTTCCTTTCTTTCTTTTTTTTCTTCCCCCCCCCCCCCCCAATCTTTGGTCTTTTTCTTGGGCTTCTTCTGATTCTCCTGGCTAT